GAGCTTGTAAAGCATTACTTTGCTTACTGAACTGTAAATCTTTTAACTAACCTAATCTAAGCCATAATAACAGCACAACAGTGTTTTTAAAATGAGTGTGAAGGCGGAAGTGCTTTAGTGTGTGTGTCCAGGAGGAATGAACAGGTGTAAACAAGGGCTGAGCTTGGTCCATCTGTTTACAAAGATAGAGGCATGTGTATGCGCATATGTGTACATGTATGTGTGTGTCTGCACATGTTTATGTATGTGTATAGGCACATATTTATGTTTAAACTTTTTTATTCTATTTGACATCTTTCTCCCCCCCCCCCCTCTGTTTCCAGCCAAAGAAAGCTGAGCTTCTCATATTACATTTATGTTGTTGTGATGAGAGGCATTTCTGGTGTCATAATTGGTTTTAAATTCCAGTAATCCATTTCAAATCATGAAATAAAATCTGTGTGTTCAATTGAAATGGCTAAAGACAGAACTTTCGTTATTGGTATCACAGGAAATAGTCTTGAGGGCAAAAGTGTGAGTGAAATCAAAATAACTATTAGTAGCATCAAAGGGACTCAAATGTTTCCCTGTACCTTCATGTAGGAGATGAGAGAATATTTTTATAATACATGCATCCAGTGGTGAATTTCATAAGCTGAGTGCCCTCCTCACAGAAACAGGAGATGCACACCCAGAGCAGCAAATGGCCGTCCTCTGATCTGGTGGTTAGTTTGCTTCTTTCCAAGGGACAGCTTCTGCCCTGCCCTGAACAGTGTAAACATGTAGCAGGGTGCGGACAGGACTCTTCGGCTACCACAGCTAGCTTGGACCAGAGCTGGGGCTTGTCCAGGTTGGGAAGAGCAGCCTGCAAGCATCTCCTGATGCCAACATGCTCTGCACATGTCTCGGATGATGCTGTCTTTACAAAATATTTGAAATAATTAAAGGCCAAAAATTTACTACATCAGTTTCAACAAATATATTTTGACTTTCTTAACAATCTCAACTTTGATTTGCAGTTGATTTTGTAAGCATATGTTAACATGGAGAACACTGTGCTTCTGTTCCCAGTGCGAGTGATGCGAAAATGTTCCATGTTTTCCCTATAAGAAAGATCAGAATAATGAAAATCATGTACTAGGCAATATATTTGAAAATTGAAAGCTGGACATTTTCCTTCCTGTGAAGCATCACAGCAGCACCTCTAAACTGACATTCCCTAGCAAGGGTCCTAGCTGATGGGAAGAAGCTGAGCAATGATCACCATGACGCCAAGGTGCGCACCTTAAAGTGCAAGGCATGAAGCAAGAAGCTCACTGAAGAATGAAAGCCCCTTGCCCCACCTGGTCTAACCATGTCTGGTGATCGATCTAGACAGAGATGATGGATAAAGAGAGAGAGAATGAAACTGCAAATTTTTTTTAGTGAAATTAGGCAAATTAAATTAGGTTATCTAATTCATAGTGGAATGATGGATGAGGAAGGGTTTTATTTATATCTTGCATGTGGATACAATATGAGATTTTGGTAGGTTTTGCTATGAATGGGCTGAAGAATACAGAGAGTCTGATTTACATGAGAGCTGAACAGCAGCAGGGTCCTTGTGTTCCTAAATGCAGTAACTGGTATTTGCAAGAGGAGAAATTCCACATGGCAGTCCTTTGAATGCCATGGTTATACTTCACAATGAAACCAGGTTGGAGTAAAAAAAGAAGAGACAATACAAAGCCAGAGGCAGGATAGGTGCGGCGAGAAGGTGGAGCAGGTTGAGAGTGAGAATACAGACTAAGTAAAGAACTGTAGCCTCTTGAGACTGTGGTAGATGGATCCTAGAAACAGAACAGTTGATCAGAGTATGTGACATTCAGAGGTGGTTATTCCTCACCACACAGAAGCTATGCTGACCTTTCTGCATATTTCATGACAAATGTATAAAATTTCTCATGCCAAGAGAGCAGCATGTGTGGGTTAGGCTCCCCAGACTTGATCCAAAATTATTAATTTTTAAATGAAAAAATATGGATTTGGTCTTCCTCTTGATTTTTTGACTCATCCTATCTGTATTCTACATTATATATGCCTGTATGTTTGTGGGAGACAGAAAATAAAAAATGTTTAGAAAAATTATCATGCTCCAACTACAAATGCTGTTATTACTTTATTAAAGTTATGTTTGAAAAAGAGGCACAGAATAACTTAAAATCTCAACCATAACTCCCTTCCCCCCCTCCAGTCCAAATAACTGTATGTTTGAACTGAAGCTTAGGGTTAAACATCAGAATTAATAAACTCCACTGGGATCTGTCAGCATTTCCAAACTTCGATAGAGCATAAAATGTTAAAATTAACTACCCAAACCTTCCTGAGCATGTAAAGGCACTAGTTCCCATTGAGATCAGCTGAGTAAATGAAATTTAAACTGCATTTTTCAAGCTGTTATAGAATAATGGCAATTCACAAAGACTTTTCTAAACTCTCTTGAATATATGTATGTGTCTGTATATGCATTTTTTGAACCTTTATGTTCTTGTTTGCCAACATGCCTTGTTTAAGGTGGGTGAGAGGAAATAACACCTGTGGTATATGGCATCCAGACAGAAAGTAGATTTGGGGTTTGAGGGTTTTCTGCTGTGGCTTTTTTTCTTTTTCTTTTTTTTTTTTTTTTGTGGCTTTCTTTGGTTTCATTTTGTTTTGTTGTTTGTTTTTTTTAATGAGCATAGATATTCAAAATCTGTCAACTTCAGGCAATGGTAGGCATGAACACTGCAGCTCTCAGATTTCTAGCTAGTCATTTTGAAAATTTGGTTTGTTTCAAAAGTTAAGCAAACTTTCAAAAATTAAAACCAGTATTTTTGTATGTGCCTATGTTCTGAATGGGTGTGGTCTGCTGCACAGAAAACTTTCATGGAAACCAATAATTGTATTTCTTTACTCGATGGCCTACAGTGAGCACCGTGTGTGAACACCTTGGCTTGATTATGTTCCGCTACATTTGGATGTAAGACACTGAAACCTAGACTCAGGTGTGGTCCTATAGCTTATAGGTATAAGTCTATTCCTTTTATATACTTGATCTCATTTATATCTTTATAAATAATAATATTGACAGCATGAAATGAATGGGTCACATGAAATCTGAATCTGAGCACTACTGAAGTTTGAAAAAGATCTGCTTTACATCTGAGCAAAATTCTGTAGCTCACATTCATCTTGAATACACATGAATATGCACTTCCCCCTTCTTACAGGTTCTGTGTTGTATCACAACCTCAGTCATCCTGTTGAGGACCAAAGAGGTCTCTCTTGGAGACCACCCATGCATTTTTTTAGCCCCTGATCCTGCAAATACTTAATCATGTGGGGAACTATGCTTTCAAGAGTGACCCTTTGAAGTCTACTGGGCTACTCCCAGGAGGACAGTTACATGGATTTTAACTACGTGCCAGATTTGGGCCTAAAATTGTCTAGCAAATGACCACTATGAAGCTATGTGAGGAATGGTGTCCACCTGGAGTGTGCCTGTAGGCTTTCTACAAGGCTTAGTCAGTAAATGCTTTTGCCTAAAGACAAACAGAAAGTTGACCAAATTAATTACTCAGAAATGTGTATTTCTTACTGTATTTCTAAAATTACTTAATTCACTAATTTTATTAGTGAATAAAGTGTCAAATTACTCCACTGAACAACACAGATCTTAATTATATTCAAATATAACCTTATAGCATCATATAGTTTTGGAGTTATTAATGTAAAACTTTATATTTTAAATAGAATTTTATAGATATATATATTTGCACATAGTAGAGAAATAGTGAGGATAGAAGATTATTTTGGACAATTATGCAGACTGGAAGAGAGCACTTGTGTTTAACAAACAGCTTTGAATTCCAATTTTCTGCAATATACATAGTGTAGGTACAATTTGTAGTCATTACTGTGTACTAGGAAAGTTATTAAAATTCTTAAACTGATTGAGGCTTTCCACAACACCTTCCCCAGTTTTTAATTGCTTTTATCTAGTTCCATAAGAGAGCCCTTTAAAATAAATCAAAGTGCCTTAAATCACATGTCTTACCCATTGAAGGACAGAAATATTCCTTCTGTAATCTGGCAAGTTTTCCTAAGAACTGAAATCTGAAGGTTCTCAAAAATCAATTAAAAGACTTGGCAGAAGATAATTTATGTGCCTTTTGATGGGTTCAGTTTCAAAATGACAAAATAACAATGTTTCATAGCAGAAGGGTTAAATCTTAATCTCGGAGGTTTAGAAAGCTGCTAGTCGCAGTCTCCTTAAAATTTAATATACCTCGTTAATGCTTACTTGCAAACACTGAAGGATTTTTATGATTATAATCATGTGTTACAGCACCTAGTACTGTTTCTAAGCAGCATACTAATCAGCTTAATGAGATATTACTGCACTTTTTGTTGACTAAAGCAAAATCCCTTTTATTGTTCTAAAGCTTGTCCTTTATTTTTTCCCAAAACATTATCTTGTTTTATTGTACACCAGTAAATATCATACCATCGGTTTTTTGTCAAATCATAAAACTATCTTTCTCATTGTAGAATGTGTAATATATTGAATATGGTTAATGGAACTGAAAGTTACAAATGGATTTCTATTTTGGTTTTTTTTTTTTCTGGCTTTTCTAATGGAAATGGGAGAGATGCACAACAGTTCTTTTTCTATATGTTTAGAAATATAAACTGATGCAGTTTCACAAGACAGACAAGGGAGGTAGTAAAAACCTTTTCCCCTTCCATAAGAATTAGATTTTGAAATTGTAGCATATTTTAAGATAGTAATTAATGGTTACTGGCAAGCATGCAGAATGATGAAGGCACTTGTATGGTCAAAATTGTGTAGCACAGTTGGTACTTAATACACTTTTTATTGTTTTTACACTAATTCCTTTGCATTATTATGAGTAGGTAAAACATAAAATGCAAATTGTACTTCAGTGATTCAATCTTTGTAACTCTCACAGTCTGAATCTAAACTATCTTCTGATTTTCAGAGATGGAAGAAGCTAGTTTGTGCCTTGGTGTTTCTTCAGCTGTGCCAGAAGCTGACGCCCATCTCAACAGCACCATACTCAATGGACAGTATTCAATGAGCCAGAAGCTGCACCAGATCACTTCCCAGCTCAGCCATGCCTTCCCAGAGCTCCAGAACAGGCAGAATCCAGAAGAGAAGGCGTCAGCGCCACTAGAAGACAAAAGCCACATGTCCATAGCAAACCAGCCCATCAGCAGTCAGATGGCTCTGTTGGCCAACCAGCTCAATAGAGAGGTTGATACCAGTTTGAATGGGCGCGTGGACCTGCAGCAGTTCTTGAATGGGCAAAACCTAGGCATTATGTCTCAGATGAGTGATATAGAGGATGATGCCAGGAAAAACAGAAAGTACCCGTGTCCTCTGTGTGGAAAACGCTTTCGCTTTAACAGCATCCTGTCACTACACATGCGAACTCACACTGGAGAGAAACCATTTAAGTGTCCATACTGTGACCACAGAGCAGCTCAGAAGGGCAACCTGAAGATACACCTGCGTACTCATAAGCTTGGAAACCTTGGCAAAGGTCGTGGAAGAGTCCGAGAAGAAAACAGACTTTTACATGAGCTGGAGGAGAGAGCAATTCTTCGGGACAAACAGATGAAGAGCAGCCTCCTGCAGCCACGACCCGACGTGAAAACACAGCAACATGCCCAGCCAATGCCTCTCGCAAACTGCAACTTGTCTGTGCCTGCTAATCACAGCACACCTGATATTTCAAACCCTGTTCCCTCTCCAAAGCCAGTCAGTGTCCAGGAAGAAGTTGTCACTCAGACAGCTGGGTTTAGATGCACATTCTGCAAAGGCAAGTTTAAGAAGCGAGAAGAGCTGGACAGGCACATAAGGATCCTGCACAAGCCCTACAAGTGCACCCTGTGTGACTTTGCTGCCTCGCAGGAAGAGGAGCTGATCAGCCACGTGGAGAAGGCTCACATAACTGCAGAGTCAGCCCAGGGCCAGGGCTCCAATGGGAGTGGGGAGCAGTCTACCAATGAGTTCCGTTGCGAGGTGTGTGGCCAAGTGTTTAGCCAAGCCTGGTTTCTAAAGGGCCACATGAGGAAGCACAAGGATTCCTTTGAACACTGCTGTCAGATCTGCGGGAGGCGATTCAAAGAGCCTTGGTTTCTTAAAAATCACATGAAAGTTCACCTGAATAAGTTATCTGTAAAGAACAAATCTCCTAATGATCCTGAAGTACCTGTTTCTATCAGCAGCATGTCCCAGGAAGCTCATGCAAACCTGTATTCGCGATACCTCTCATGTTTGCAGAGTGGGTTTCTTCCTCCTGACAAAGTGACTTTAAGTGAACAAAATCAAATCTATAACAAAGGAGATATGCCCATAAAGGAGAAAGAAGTGTTGGGGAAGCTTCTTTCACCAATTTCTGGTATTGGCCACAGTATGGCTGAAGGGGATAAACATTCTTTATTGGGCTGTCTCAATCTGGTGCCTCCTCTGAAATCCAGCTGTATAGAAAGGTTACAAGCTGCCGCCAAAGCGGCAGAAATGGATCCAGTAAACAGCTATCAAGCCTGGCAGCTTATGGCAAGGGGAATGGCCATGGAACATGGCTTTTTGTCTAAAGAGCAGCAGATACAGCGCAGCCATGAAGACACTTTGGCAAATGCTGGAGTTATGTTTGATAAGGAGAAGCGAGAGTATGTGTTAGTAGGAGCAGATGGCTCTAAGCAGAAAATGCCTGCTGATTTGGTTCACAGCACTAAAATGGGCAATCAGAGAGACTTGCCAAACAAACTAGACCCTTTAGAAGGCAGTAGAGATTTTTTGTCACATGGTATGAACCAGGGACTCGATTTCAACTTACAAAGTCATGGAAATGTGAAAGAAAAGCCAACTGAATGCCCAGACTGCGGAAGGGTTTTCAGAACCTACCACCAGGTGGTTGTTCACTCCAGGGTCCACAAAAGAGACAGGAAAGGAGAAGATGAAATAATTCAAGGTGGTCTTGATGAGCGACGTGGATCTGGAAGTGACCAAGAGTCTCAGTCTGTCAGCAGGTCAACAACACCAGGGTCCTCTAACATTACTGAAGAAAGTGGAGTAGGTGGGGGTCTCTCGCAGATGGGAAGTGCCCAGGAGGACAGCCCACATCCTTCCTCACCATCCTCTTCAGGTAAGATAACTTCTTCCCTCTCTGCACTGAAATCTTCATAGCTGTATTTGAAATTGCAGCAGCAAAGTAGTTTATGCAGTCTCGTTAGGTCATTTCATAGTGGTCTATAGGGATGTGCTGTTATATGCCTGAACATCCATGTGTGGGTTCCTACAGTGCCTTTGAGGTGAATTCTGGGCTCACCCTTTTCTCCAAAGGTAGGTTTCCCATCCTTTCAGCTATCACCTCTGCCACCCTGCTGACAGCAGCATGCGGGGTCTCAGCAGTCACCAAGAGCAATGTTGCTTCCAGGGCCTCTCCCATTGGGTTTTGGAAGGGCTTTTTTTTTCCCTCATGGTGTCTCTCTTGCAGATCTTTCCACGCCCTTCATGTAAAGGGGTGAGGAAAGACGCCTTCTTTGAGCCATAGTTCAAAGAGCTAGGATTAAAAACAGCATGTTGGCCAAAGTTTCTGATTGCCCTTATTCCCACAGCTGTATCAGTTACTTAGCTGAGATATGTACCTGGTGACTGGGCTGATTCAAAATATAAGTTACTAACTTACTATAATCTTTCATCTTTTTTTTTCACATTTTAACATGTATGAAGCTTTCTGCTTAGTTCTCATATATTTGAAAGTACAAGGAAAATAGAAATTGAACTGAAACATTTTAATTGCATTGTATGTCATGTTAACTTGCTGTGTATAAGATAGCAAAACAGATGATATTTCATTGGTGATGTTTATAAAATATTGAGCTTCCTGGTACAATTTTTAAAGTTACTAGCCTATGACTGCTGAAATAAAATCTTCAAATAATAACAGGTAAGATTTCTGGCCTCATGTATATTTCCAAAGTCATTTGGTAATGGATAGTAAATTGAAAGTTATATCTTCAGCGCTTTATAAAGAAAGCACCTCACTAATACTGTAATCATTCCTCAAGCCTAACAACAGAGGAAATCATGCCATAACAAATACTCTGTTACTAATGGCAACATTGATTTCTGCAATCAGCCATTAAGTCTAGAAAATGAAAGACAGTTTGAGGTACCTTAAGGCATTACATTGCCCACTGTTAAAGAGCTGGTAGCAGGCTGTTGAGGGTAATTCTTTTCAGTCCCCCCTCCCATCCCGTCCCGTTCCTCCCCCCCCCCCCCCCCCCAGTTTCAATAAATATTTTAGTATTGGAAGCAATTCACTGTCACAGTTATTAAGTATATGCTAGTTTATTTTTGTTGTTCTTGTCATGCTCCAGTATACTCTACTTCTGAGGCCAAATTAATATAAAAATAAAGTGTTAGTTTGCTGGCTTATTACAAACCAGTAAAGAAATTGTTAAGACACATAAATCTGCACTCCACATTCCACAGATTCCTATAGTACTTAATGCTGTTGTTTTACCCATGAAACACACTGTCTACTCTTAAGTCACAGCCCTGCGTACAATTTAGTACTGGTGGAGACACATTTGAAAAATTCCATGTAGGAACAAGGGTAACAGGCGAGAGCTAATTTCATACTATATATAGTTGTTGAGATTGTTTTAAGAGGATTGAAAATATGTCAGGGATGAAGAAGATTATTTTCTAACTTTCACTTTTAAAAATCCTGCACATTGAGAGGGCGGGAGGTACTGGGGGGTGGACTGCTCCTCTTTAATATAGAAAGCATCACTTTTGTTTGGCAATGCCATAGAGGGATCAGAAAGAAAAGATCCTGAAACTCTAAATTCTGTCCGAAGACTTCCAGGGCTGTCTGGAAAAGTTTGAGAGAAAGAGAGCCCCAGAGTCTTGATAGAGATTGAAGAGGATTCAAACACTGCATGTGAAAGTTGGTGTAGTAATGACTGCCCTGAAAACTTTAATTCCAAGTGTACTGGTTCATTAAGTGTATTGTTGTGGGAAGTTTTTCCTGTCTTCAAAGGCAAAAGATTCCCCCGCAGTGTTGTTCTTTCTTTGGCCACTAATTTAAAATTATTTTGAACTTAAATGGCAATTTTCATTTTCACACCTGATGCATTTATATCAAAGCATATGAAAATACGTGGAGTATCAAAGCAAAATATATGGAATAACAGTCACTAGAAGCACGTTCTTTATTACTGACCTTTTATATTAATATCTGATTATCTCCTTTTGTCTATTACTAGTAAATCTAGGAAGTCTCTCAGTGTCATGCATCCTATCAGAGAAAGTGTGCATGTTTTTATAACTTCTTAATCAGATGAAAGAAAGAGGGTATTGAATTTCACCAGAACAAAATCTAAGTATTCCTTAGTACTTTAAAATTAAATTTTACTGCCAGGTTGCTGTGGAACTTTTCATCAGTATGAAGTGTGTATTTTATTGCTACCTGTGAAAAATAAACCAGTAGAATATAAAGAAATCAGAATTTTTGCGCAGGGGAGAATTAAGTAGTCATTGAGTCTTCTATTAAGAAATTACCGCAAAACACAGTTTCACAAATTTCTCAGACTGCATAACAATGTCTCAAAACTTAATTTGCATCACTTGATCCTTTTTTGTTGAAAACTGGGTCAGTAGGGCCTGAGAAACTATTTTTTCAGATCTTAACCAATGAATTCTTCTTTATAAATTGGTGCTCTTAACATGATAGTAGTTCTGAATTCATCATAAAAACCTTTTTACACAGTGCCTCTTAGAACAGATCTCCAGAAGAAGGCTTACAATGAGTGGCAGAGAAGGCTTTGTTATCTGATGTAATTCTTTGCAAAGGAGGATTGGGAATGGAGTGCCTGTTTAAAACTGTCTAGCTCAGGCTGAGAAGAAGAAAGGGTCAAGTTTGCAATCAAACAGTTATTGCAGAGATGTGTGACTGTCACTGGCTGGGCTAATGTGGTATGCAGCTGTTTGTTATGTGAGTAAAAGAATGTTTGAATCAGTGAACATGTGAAAATGACTCCAGTGAACCAGAAAATGTGTTTGTTCTTTAGCTCTCCAAACTGCTGAGAACTAAGCTTAAGATCAACTGCTAAAACTAGGACCTTTGACAAATTGAGAGGTCATATTTTTTAACAGAAATGAACGAAACTAGTCACACAGATCATTTCCCTCTGTTTTTCACTGTTTTATCTTGTTTTTTGTTTACTTTTGTGTGAAATTATGAGAGTCAAATAAATGTCATTTCTGTCTCCACATAGAAAACAAAGAGAAACCATTGTAAAAATATGTGCTTCTGCACTCTTCCTGATGCAGACAGTGTTGTGGATGGGGAGATGCTGTTGGGTTGGTTCTTGTCTAACTGCAGGCACCCTTCTGTAATTAATTTTGCAGCATTACAGCAGAAATGAAGTAAAGCAGGGCCAGATGTCCAGTCTTACTTCTAGTCCTCTTATTTTAAAAAAAAGTTGTATTTGTACCAGTTTTGCTTAGGAATTAATGCTTAGAATAATTAAAACTTAATGTGGGAAGAAATTATACTGTTCATTGTATCCAGCAGGGTAGTACCTTCTGCATTTTCCTGTAATTTTGGTGTGGGGATAATTGAAGTCTTGATAGTATGAAGGGGGTAATTGAATGCACTGACCCTCCAGTTCATTAAATAAAGTAGGCCAAGTTCCATGATCAATGGAAAGCATGGGGACTAAAAAAAAAAAAAAGAAAATAAAATACTGTTAGATATAACCACTTATTCTTGTATGCAGCATTTCATGTGGACTTTGGCCTAGTTTGTTTGATCAGCTGTTTTGGAATCTTTCAGGCATCTTTTGGGTGTTAAAATGAGTTTTTTTTGGTAGAAAAGCTTTAGGTATTAGATAGAGTTTCAGCCCATATTTATGTCCTCTGACAGAACACATAAAAAGCTTTTGTAGTGGCCATCATTGCACAGACATAGGAAAGACAGTGATATGATACTCTTTTGCTTTGTCTGTCTTTTTCTTTCTTTCTCTCTTTCTTTTTTGCTTTACTTTCTTCTCCTTTTCTTTTTCTTTTTTTTTTTTTCTTCTTTCTCTTCCTTTTTCAGTGATAGCCATCATCTGCTCATTGTGAACAAAACAGCAAAAAATTTAAGTCTGAGGATTAAGATCTTTATTTTTTTGCTTGTGCATTCCAATTGTTCTTAAAATATTTGGCAATGTCAATTAGTAACTGAGCAGAGTTAGCTGATGAACACAATTTTCCACTAGACTGAGCACCCTATTGTTGTCGAGCTAACAGCAGATTTCTGAGGTCATTATCATTCCCTGGTAGCTTGGCCCAGCTGCTTCATGCTGCAAAAGCCAAACTTCAGACTGGAGCGGTGGGATGGCATGCAGCAACAGGGGGCTGCGGGGGGGGGGGGGGGGGGGGGGGGGGCGGCTGCGGCGTGCACAGTGAGGCTGTGGTAAGGCATTAGAAACTGAGGAAAGAGAAAGTAAAAGTTTCTAGGTGTTTCCAGGGAAATCTGCTTTCCAGCCTGGCTTCCTGCTCCCTTTCAGCCTCCCTCTCTACCTCAAGGATTGGTTTAATCTCTCCACTTGGACAACTGTGAAAACAACAGGAAAACATAATTTCTGTCACTAGTCAGTTCCTAAAGGGGGACTTCAACTAGCCCACTGCCTTGACGTTTCCTTGGGCAGGTGTTATGTTTTGCTTTGCTTTGGTTTGCCACGCAGGGACATGGGGAGAGGTAGGGGAAACACTTGTTTTTTTTTCCTCTGCTGGGTGAAGATATTTTACCTTATAAAATAGCTGCAAATATGGAGCTTGAGAACTGCAGGCAGCTAGCACTGCTTTGGCAAGTTGTCAGTCCTGGAGGATCGCACACAGAACTTTCATTGTGGAAATGCTATTTAATATAGGTGGTTTTGCTTTCTGCCTTATTTCCTTTTTTTCTTTTCTCTTGTTGTCTTTGCTGGCCTCATTTGGTATCAGGTTCAGCGAGATGCAAAGCCACACTTTTTTAAAGCTCAGCTGTTATAACTGAGCGCCATATGCAGCCTTTCAATCCCTGATATGGAATACTGTACATGCTGCTCCATGTTTGTAAGAGATTTACAGGAGCTTGAGTTGTGTGTA